TGTCTAATGCAATACTCAAGCATGAAAGTGTTGGCCACAATACAATTCTAGCAAGAGACTAACCGATTAGGAGGTTTGTAGTGTATCGGCAATAATTAGAGTGGGGAAAAAGATATAGGTGGAAATAATCTGGAAGGTGAGACCTTCTAGATGGGAACTACTAGATAACCATATTAGATAGTAGTGTCCCTCACGCCTTTGTGATTCCAAGGCCAATTATTTGAGTTCTCAGTTTTACATCTGCTTTGATGCATCAGTGGAATTGTTCCGGCTTTTGTAAAATGCTGGTTGGTTGAATACATTTCCTGCTCAAAACTATCCCAGCATCTTTCCAACAGTGGTATTCTTGTACCAGCTATATTTGTATTTTTATCAACTATATGGTAATAGGCTATAGTGGGATGATTCAGGGAACATCTAATTAGTTTGAGGCCAACCTCACTGAAGACTCCAAGTTTTAAGAATCAAAATATGTGATTGAATCATCTGTGGAACCAAGCTTTCATTTGCTCATTTTGTGCTGTTGAATGTTTGTTACTTTCCACATTACCACTTGTATTCCAAACTTAAAATAAGGCTTATTGTCTAAAAGGTTCATATTTAATGAGCTACGGTTAACAACAACTTTATGAATTGTCTTGAGATATTTATAATTAATGCTCCTAAGCAAATTTGTTTCATATTTGTATTGTGCTCCCAGGAAATGTAATAATTGATTTTCATTCGTTAACTTGTTATATAATCAGTAGGATAAAATTATTCTTGGTGTAGTCCAGGAATGCTACATTTTAGTATCTGGCACAATTAATTATCAAGACAGCCTCACTCTCCATTTCTTTGCCTATTATCTTACTAAAAAGGACGACATTTTATTTCCTAACAAAGTACAGCAGCATACAATATCATGATATACTGTGGTGGTCTTACTTGTCACGGAAAATAGAATAACAGGATTTAAAACTTCTGCTTGGTGCAATTAATCCAAGCAACACTCCCTCCCCAACCCAAAAAAAACAAAAACAAAAAAACCCAAAAGCAAACAGTTGCTGGAGAATTCAAGTTACTTCTAAACACTATGCATAATGCTAGCCTTAAAATACATTATTTATGCATCTCATTGGTGTATGCCTCAAGTTATTGTTCCTGATTGCCCTTTAATTTCTCCTAATATCAGGGTCTGCAAGAAGAACAGGGCCACATAGAATCCAAACAATAAATACTTTGTTTTACCTGACATTTTAATTAAGAGTAGATTTTCTACATTAGGTTTTTATGGTATGAAGACTATATTCCATTAGTGTTTACTGGATACTTGTTGGTGAGATCATAAACCATAAATAAGTAAGAATCATTTAGAGTTTACATAAGACTCAATATTTACTAAACATATAGTTAAAAATCACTCGTTTTATTTCCTATAACAAAAATAGCAATACAACTCCTTAGTTTCCACTAATCTCAGTGGACTCTTAAATTGCAAGCTGACTGACTTCACAGATGTGTGTGTGTATGACATACGCCCTAGGGTATAGTTGGTACCATACTTCTCAAATAACTCTCAAGAGGATCTTTTTATTTCTTCCTCCTTTAAGGAGAAATATGGTCATCTTAAGCTTAATACAATTTTAATATATTTACTGTTATATATTATTCTTAGGGCTTTTCTATTATTTAGTAACCAACAGAGCTATATGAGTATTAGATTCCAAGATAAGTCAAACACAGAAATGAGAAAAAAATTTTGATTCAACTGCTCACTTTTGCTGTTTTTTTAGTGACAGTTACATTAATTTTTAGCAAAAAAGTAATGATGGTTACTTCATCTGGTAAGTTAATCATCTGCTTCCTATAGTCCACAGGTACCACATCTGAAAATGTATAACAGACAAGACACCCCCATAGACCTTTTTTAGATGGTCAGAAAATTACAGAGATGTAGATCAAAAGATTAACAGCCAACAAAAGATGGTTTTCTATTATAAATTTATGCATATGTTTCCATTCTGGTTTAAATGTCCCAAACAAAGGTATTTCCACTACTTCCACTATCTTTGAAAAGTGGTCTAACCCAAAAAAGATCTAAGGATATGCAATTCAATATTAAAGGACGACGCTGATTTACAGATAAATCTTGCATCAAGAAATATGCATTCGTTTCTTTTTGTTGGAAAGATATTAAAAAAATAGAAAGGTGACAACATTGCACAAATTTATGGAAAAAGCCAACAAATAAAGTATCCAATAGTACTATCCCAGCAAAAAATATGAATGAAAAATGTTACTTTCATATAAAGAAATAACACAGTTTCACTCATAATGCCAAACTTCCAGTAAGAATCGCAATATTAAAACAAACCACAGTTATTTGTATACTGTATCTGAATCTGTCATGTTCAGATGTCTAGAAATGAAAACGCCTTGTTGCCAAACAGTATACACCCAAAAAGCAGTATAGGCAAACAAAATCCCACTTGAGTGAGGTCACTTGCTATTCTTGAGGGCACCTTCCCTCTTAAAAAGATTATATGCCAACTATTAATTTAGAATGTAATAATAACATTATTTAACAAGAAAGTGTCCTGTGAGAGTTTAAAAATAGATACTTTTAAAGCAGATCTGCATGCAATCTGGCCAAATTTCTGGGTCCCTAACTGCCTGTGATAATTGGAGAATAAGTGTTCCACACTTATTCAAGTCAAGCCCAGCCAGAGGTGTATCATTTTGGATCTGTTTTAAAAATATTTGCCCTGTCATTATTTTAGATTACTGTTTTCATATAAAGCAAGCAGAACTGAAATGATACATTCCTCTCTGGTATAGTAAATGAGCAAAATATGAAGTAGACTATTGAATGGGATCCCTGTAGATGCATAGCTTTAAAAATGTGAGTGGCCTAAGAAAAACATTATCTATGCATGTAGTCACATAAAGCTCAAGGAAGTTAGAAGTTTGAGATTTTATTTTTAAAAGTAAGAAGCACAGTTATTTGGCAGAGCTACAAACTCTGGCAAGGAAGCTATTCTAAGATCCTACCCCCTGTTCTTTTCCTCCTTGGCTTGCCCCTGAATAGCAAGTCAGAATGTGCTAATTAAACTTACAGAAAACAGAGAGAGAGAAAGAGAGAGAGAGAGAGCCAGGCATAATAAATACATAGGAAACTACATTGTGAAGCCAACAAGAATTTTCAAAATGCTGAAGCCAATGGAAATGTTCATAATCAAGAGTGCTGTTCAAATCATCACTTCCTTTTCATCTTGATCCAAAGCTGTTTTCATTCTTAAAGTTGGAACTGTATAAATTTGGGAGAGAGCAACTTAAGGCCAGCCTGCCCAGAATCAGTGATATTCCAGGAAAGCAAGGAGGCCAGCTTTAATAACAGCATGTGGAAGCATCATTTACAAACAAGACAGGGCAGCTGCAAATAACAGAGACACTAGGTTTAAAAGTGGTTAAAAGAAGAGGCATTAGTGGGCAATACCAACTACGTACAACCTTTGTGCGCACTGAACTACCATCCCTGACAAAGATTTCTGGAGTGTCAATACATAAAGGCCAAAATAAAGAATTCACACAGACCATTAGCTGATCAGTGCTGCTGCCACTGAAGTCTAGGGGTCTTCAATTGGAAGCAGGATCACACCCTGCCCCATGTTTTGATACTTAGTTTTTTCCAGTTCATATACAATCACAAATGCTTAATTCTTGTTCTCCAGTGATGACAGAAACTTGTTTAACTTACCCACTGGGCAAACTTGGGTAACTTTGTGTTTTTTTTAAATCAAAGTCTCTCCTCACCAGGCAGGTTACCCCCATCACAACACCTGTTCTGCTTTGCTAATATTCTTCCTCTTCTAAACCAACCCTGGCAGGTCTTCAGCACGACAGGATAGGATTATTGACTGAAATCTTTCTCTTGGGTGTCCTCTTAGTTGCAAGGTCTTGATGACTATTTATTTGCTAAGGGATATTTCTTCCACCTGACAGTATACACACATCCTTCTTGTAAAAAAAAAAAAAAAAAAAAAAAATATATATATATATATAATCTCTAAGGAGTGACAATTTTAGCACTTGCGTAGAAACTCAAGTTGGTCCCATCAGCAATGAGTTAAAATGTCTACGAAACTGTAAATATACTGTTTATTTATATCTTAATCATTATGTAACTTGACTTGAATAAAGTCCAAGAGCTACTATAAATATGGGCAGTACCTACATAAGACAAACATAGGTTGCCTGTATTCATGTATTTAAATATTGATACAAAGCTGTCTAAGGAATGGAATAGTTTATATAAAAACATGCAACATGCATATAAACAGTCTTTTATATAAAACTATACAAAACTGCAGTATGCCGCGGCTCTGTAGTGGTGAAGACATTTAAGACTTGTGCCATGTTATAGTTTTGCTGCTAGGATAGACAGGGTTTTTAAAGGACTAAAGGGGATTAGAGCACTAGATCTCTTTGAAGAGATTCTGCATTTTATATCATCAGGTTTCCACAAGCAGCTGAGTGCATTGGAAATCAAGGATGCGCCTATGTTTTTGAGCAGCGTCCAAAGCAGAGGGCAGGATGGCAAAGCATGCCACTCTGCCCCTCACAGACGGCTTTGAAGGAAGACAAATACAAATACATTCTTGCTACATTATAGTCTCTCCAATGCATCCAGCAAGGAGAGAGAGTCCTATGGATGAAGGACCCCTCCTAACATTCAGCCTGTCCTCAAAACAGTCGGGAGGCTGGAATGGGAAGGGCTTTTCCAGCTCCCCTTTCTGCAAGGCGCACTTGTGTGCGCACCTTGGCCAAGGAAGCTCCCAGGGACGGGACTCAGGAATAACAGTTTAAGTCAGAAACGTGCACTCTAAGTCCGCTTGGAGCCAGATGGCCGCTGCCACCTCCGTGGCAACTAATATCAGTGTAGGAAGCAGGCAGGCATGATTCAGTCTTACAAGAGGCTCCGCGGTCTCTCATGCAAGAGAAATGCCCCTTGTGCTTACCTCGTTCCGGCAGCAAACACCCAAGCTGGCGCCGCACAAAGGGCTGAGGGATTCCCTGCTCCTCCAGGGGCTGCTCCCGGGTTTCCTCCTGCAAACGAGCTGTTGCCAGAGCCGCGGCGCGGGGAGCGCTTTGTCCGGGGGCTGCCCCTGCCCCTGCCCTACGGGCTCGACCCCGACTCAGCCTCCCCGCGGGCTGCAGGGGGCCGGGGGAGGAAGAAGAAGGGGAAAGCCATCCTCGGGGAGGGACATCAGGGCGGCGATCGCCGGACGAGCGAGAAGGCAAAGCTCCCCCAGCTCTCTCTCATGTAATCTCCCGGCGGTCGCATGTGATGTGGCGGCGGCGGCTGCTGGCGGCGGGTGTCGCCGCGTGTCTGCGGATGTGCACGCCGCGGAGATGGGGAGGCGGCGGGCGAGGAGCTGGGCTGGGCTGGGCTCGGCTCGGCGCGGAGCT